ATGATAATATTAAAAAAGTTTTAAGCAGGTAAGGTGTCATACTTTCTGTTACATTATTTATAGAAAATGTGAAGAAGATTTAGTGGTTTGTGAAAGCGAAAAGATGCTTTTACGAAATGAACTTAGAAGGTTAGAAAAAGAGATATCTTTAAAGAAAAAATCAATTAATACAAACACACTGAATATATCAAATACGAATTCAAACAATGACTCCAAACAAAATGAAATCGAGAAAATAGTTGATAACACAGAAAGTGGGAATGAAGATATGGAAATATGGATCAAGAAGAGAAACAATCTACTATTACAGTAATTAAAATAACATTATTTTTATAATATGTCAATATTCAAATTGTATATATTCAAATTTTTTGTAAATTCTAATTGATTAATGATTTATTTTCAGAAAAATGAAACAAGTTCTCCATATCTTCCAGTAAAATCCAGAGGAGTATTTGCTCTGAAGCAACATGTAACTCTAACACATAATACAATGAAATTGAGTTCTTCAATTCTTAAAAAAAAATCAAGAGTTGAACAAGCACACTCTATAAGTGTAAGAAAACATATTATAATTTTAAAAATGATAATCTTTATTCTTTTTACTTATACAGATTCTTTATTTAGGGTAAAGTAGCAACTAATATAATTGCTTTTGATGGTTTTGGAGGACATTCAAAACTTGAACAGTTTCCTAGTCCTGTCAGTTTTAAGATAAATAATATGAAGGATGATATAGCTCAATCTAAAAAACGAAAATTGTAACATTATATATTTTTAGTTCTTGGGTACCAATGTATCAAAAAGTTTGTATAAAGCTCAAACTGACAACAACTATAATGACTATATATATGACTGTATGATTATGTGATTATGTCTATGTCTATATGACTATAACTATACTATACTTATAGGATACAAATTTTAAATACAGTTACCAAATTCTGAAATTTCTATTACTGAGTCTATTTGAAGAGAGTTTTCAGAGTACATAATACAATTGAACATTTGTACTGCATATTCTTTGACACTGAAAGAACTGTTAATTTGTACATAAGAAAAAAAAAGGAAAAGAATGTGTGGAAAAATTTAATAGATTTGTATTATAAATAATTATATTATAAATAATTCATTAAAAAATATTGAGTTACGAAAGATATACATTTATTGACAAAAATTAGGAAACAAATTGTTTTTCGAAGATACTTGTGCAAGGACCACAATTAAATTGAATCAAAGAAATAAGACAAAGTCTGTGTGACATAAGTCAGTAAGATTTGACGAATATGGAACTGTTAAAACAGCACCACGAACTGGCAGACTGCGAAAAACAACTGAAGATCTAGATCGTTGAATTGCAAAGCTCTCGAAGTCGAGTCCATTGTACACTGCTTCTGAAATTAAAAACCAACTGGGTCTGTAAAACATTCATAGCAGGACAGTTAGCCGTCGTTTAGATGAAAATAATCTTTTCTTATGCAAAGCATACAAGAAAGCACTAGAGTTTGAACACCTTAATTGGACTACTACTGAATGATCAAAAATTCTATGAAGTGACGAGAATAAGTTCAACCTGTTAGAAAATGATTCTAATAATAATGTGCGACGGTCTACTGGTCAACGATTTGATGTTAAATACCTAACATCGACAGTAAAATTTGGTAGTGGAAATGTAATGATGTGGAGTCGTTTCTCGCATAACAACCCTGGTCCACTAATACAAAGAAAAGAAACAATGGATAAATTTGTGTATTGCGACAACTTACAAAATCATGTATTGCCATTACATTTTATGATTCAATTTAATTGTGCATAAGTATGTTCGATAAAAATTCATTGTTTATTAATGTATGGAATATTATTTTATTGTGCTATTTTTAGTTTCAATCTATATACATATCTTAGAAGGTAGAGAATATACCGAAATTCCCAAATGATTACGTTGTTTCTTAACTTTTGTCAGTAACTGTATATAGAGTAGCATAGTTTATTATATATTTTCTAAATAAATTTTTTAATTAATTTCATGTATTGGGTTGTCCAGAAAGTTTGTGCCGATTTTGAAGGAAAATTGAAACGCAGGAAATTTAAATTTTAGTATACATTTATTAAATTATATAGTTGCTATTCTGTTCTATAACCTTTCTTCATTTTTCAGGCAACTTGAAAATTCCGTCTTTCTATAATCTCTCAGGTTTTTCAACGAAAAACTTTTCAAGCTGATTTCTTATCTCGGCCAGAGTTGAATTTTTTTCCACTAAGAGAAATGTAATGATCGAAGTAGGAGGAAATCATAAGGCGCGAGGTCTGGTGAATATGATGGATGGGATAGAATATTCCAAACGAGATTCAACAACTTTTGTCGAGTTTTCAGAGACAAATGCGAATCAAAAGATAAAAAACCTCTTGCTGTCTTTAATTCGTTTAATTGGGGACAATACTTCTCTGAATTTCCCACCAGACACAGAGCATAACATTCTTTGGATGAAGAAAATCTTTTTCGCTCAACATTATTATAAATGATTCATTTTTCATATCCCGTCATTACTTACTTCAAAAATGGTGTCTCCTCGTTGCGTTTACAGAGCGAGTCTCAAATAGAAATGCGATCTATCAGATTTTTCTCCGTTAAATCGTGGGAAACCCATACATCAAAATGGTTTATGTAGCCAAGCTTCACAAAATGTTCGTGATTGGTGAACTTTGACATATTTAACATTTTTGCTAGTTGACGTGTATCGTATAGCGTGGGTTATTCTCGATTAGTGTTTTAATCTGATCTTCTTCTGTGGTGCAGGGCCAACCCGGGCGTTCTTGATCTTTAAGGTTGAAATCACCAGCTTTAAATTTAGCAAACCACTTCCACACAGTTCTTTCAGCTATAGCACCTTCGCCATAAACAGTGCAGTTTTACTTTTTTCTTTTTTTCAAATTTTTTTCCTAATATAGCTGAAGTACCGTCTTTTACGATATGTATGCATGTCGTTTGTTTTCAATCGTTCTGATATATTCAGACTTATCCTTACACCACCTACTAAAAATCGGCGCGTACATTCTGGAATACCCAATAAATATATTTTATACATCATATTAAATTAATGAAAGAATACCTGTATATTAATAGAAAAGAAATGTAAGAAATAATTTTTGTAGTATTGAGAAATGTATGTGCAAACATTAGAGTAAGCAATCAATGAACATTTAATGAACTCATAAATACTAACAATAGATATTCAAAATTAATCAGGAATTTTCTATATTAATAGCATTTTAAGAGTGTGTAAATATTAACTCTGGCCTACAACCACGTATGAGGTGATACGTGGTACGTTGGCTAGACCAAATATAAACACTACGTGTCACGGCCATAATTTGTTGATGTACCCCATGTAAGTTGTGTGTCATTGGTACAATTTAAAACAGATTTGCCGAGCCGTGGAATGGCTCGAAGGCTCGCCAATTCTGTTTACGTTTTGAGACAACGCTGTCGAATCTTAAATCGTAGGGCAAGGGGTTAATAACGAATATCCTTTTTATAACGCACCCATTAATATTGTTATTTTGTAATTTGTATTTATTAACAAATTTTTTACGGTGGATTGATTGAATACTGTGATCAAGACAAAACCGAATTTATTAACAAGTAAAATGAAGATTGAAACAATTCTAAATGCGACAAAAGAGTTGGCTATCGTTACGTTTGAAAATTATCAATGAATGTTATGTCTGTAATATTGGCATTGATATTTCATTTACATATTTGAATTTGTCTTTATAGCGGCTATTAACAACTAATTAAATAACTAGTTTATTTTTTATAACTTTGGAGAATTATTAAGCTCAGATAGCTATAAAGAAAAGAAAAATATTTAAAAACTTTACGAATAAATTCCGTGATATAAAATTGTAAAAAATAATACTATATTATTTATATCACTATTAATGTAATGTATATACGGATGCATAGATCTATGGATTCTTTTTTGGTAAATTGTCTTAATTTAACTGACAAATGCCTAAAAATGTTGTCCCAACATTCTATTTCAATATTCTATCAATTGAAAGAAATTCATTGCTTTTTCTTCTACGTATATCGTTTGGATTAGGTTTAAGCAAAAGAAAAAGATAGTCGGGAGTTATACAAATATTTAGATTACGAAAGTTGGCGAGAATGTTTCATGAATGTGATATATCGCAATAAGAAATAGAATATTTAAAGCGTTAAAATTTTCAAGAAATAATATTTTGTATCATTTTCTATTTTCTCCAAACAATTCAATTATTAAAGTGTTTATTGTATTTGTAAATATTCAGTATAAATATATTTCTTTTGTACATATTTTATTTGTTTATATACGCTTTGTAGGTAGAACGATGTTTATTATAACCCACCTAGTTCCCAATTTAAATATAGTTATTTACATATTGAAAAAGCTGAAATTAAAAGTTCTAACGCGCTTTATTCAATTCATCATTTTGGCTTACGACTAGAGTTTATATATATTTATTATTTAAATATTTATTATTTTCTTCTATACAATCTTTACACGTAACTCTTGACGCTGTGCCCGGACGAAGACTGACTTTATCATCCATTGGTAAAGAAAAACAAAAGGACAATGTAGAGACAAAGACTACGCATTCGTCAGCTTTTCGGTGTCGCAAAAGAACGAAACACAAACGTATATCTTATATTTTACACACCTCCGTACGTTTGTAGTGTATTTCACGGAAAGCATTTCTCTTAATCTTATATGTTTAGATTTATGATTGATGGTTTTAGATTTATGGCACCTTAAGTAGAGCCATGATACAAATGGATTAAACTGCACATATTTCTTACACTTTATCAAATTTAATTCGCAAATTTTATTTATCAGCATGTTCCTCCGTAATGGTATGCATATGAGAGAAAAAGAAGTAATTTTCTATGAAATATGAGATATATATTATGCGATAAAGTTTGTAGACTGACGTATAGTTTAACGTTTTATTATTTGATACGTAACAAAAATAAAACGAAACTGTTAGTGGTAATCGGTAAATTAAATTGAATTTGGATAAGACAGGGCAGTTTAGTATCTTCGCCTTAAAGCAACCCATTTTTTACGGTTTTTAAAAATATCCTGTATTTTAGCATCAATGAAAGATATAGACGGAGGAGTTTGGAAAAGTAATATACTGTATCTACCTTTTTGCGAAAAATCAAAATTTGAAAAAATTATAAAATGCCTTGACCAATTTCGTTAATTTTCAATTATATTATACGCGATGAAATTCTGATCAACTTTTATTTCCCATAATAATTGTCGCTCGGTCTTAGTTTTTGGAATATTTGAAAACATTGTTTGTACAATTGCATTGAACTCCTACATGATGTGTGTCGTGAATGCGTGTGTTTCTAAGAGATCATCACTCGGCTAATGTTTCTAAAGGCGCATTACCGTATAAATTCTATTACTATATAAGTTCTTAATAAAAGGAGAGAAAATGGTTTTATGAAAATTAATGATAAGTGTTGATAATTTGCAAATGCGCAATAGCTATTGATCTAGGGGAAACGAAAATTGTCGTCCAATACTGACTAGAGCAAAATTTTCAATTTAATTCGTTAATTACGTAATTAAAAAGCCATTTAAATATTACAGTAACATGCAAACTATATTTCTATATGCACCCCAAGTAAAATATCGACACTCTCTGTGCATTCGATAAGAATTATAGATTGAAAATAATTTGGTCGACCCTAGTACTTACGAAATGGA